TACCTCTATTTCTATCTTTCTTCTCGATCGAAGACTATACTCGACTTCGATCGATTACACTTGTCGCGATTGAAGAATGCTACTTGACACGTATTCTGGAACATCTTCACAGATCCTATCACGTTATTTCTCTTTCGATTACATTCATTGAAGGTATTATGTATGGTGGAACAGTTATGAGTCTTCTCTCGTCAGTTATTGGGCAGCAGACACTTCAAAAACTGAACTTAACTATAGGATATAGTACAATCGGTGAACTTCGATGGCCTGGTCTATGTTCCGTGCAACATCTCACATTGATTGATTCTATTAACATCATACAATATTGTAAAATTCTTCATTGTTCCCCTCATCTAAAAACGATGATCTTGGAAGCTTGTTGGATCCAGGATCCCGTTATGGTTGATTATCTTGAGTCAGATCGTGGATGCTATCGACAATTACAGTCACTTAAATTGAAAAGAGCTTCTGTAGGAATGGATATGATGGAGTCCTTTCTATCACTGACACCTTCATTGGTCCATTTGACATTGATTGGTAATGGAATACACTTATTTGATGGCAGCCATTGGGAAAACTTCATTTTAGCAAAATTGCCTGAATTGAACAATTTCGAATTTGCCTTTTATGACAACAACTGGGTTCACAATGCCATTGTCAGCTTGGAATCGATGATTGATCGATTTCGTACACCGTTCTGGGTCGCAGACAAACATTGGTTTGTCAATCTAATTGCTTTTGAAAAATCTTCAATTATCAACCTCTATTCCATTCCAAATTGTGTATTGGAAACTCGTTACCGTGCAACATCGAATCGGATCGAGTATTCTACATGTCCTGATCAGAATGATGAGTCATCAAAGATGAGTAATATGCGTAAACTAATTTTGCATTTAAGACAACTTGCAACTGAGGATGGCGCAGAACAGGTAGGCCTCGACCATTAGTCTGTGTTTCATCACTGTGTCTATCTCAAATCAAAGTTTAAAGATATTGAAAACTCCTTCAATAACCATAACATCGATTCATTTTTCACGTTGAATTAGAGAGTGCAAATACAGCTCGAGGAGTTTGGTAATTCAGTGATATCCTGAGGTTTATTCTCTGTTTTTCTTTGCCTTTTTGATCTTCGATGTCAATAGAAAAAAATACATACGCTAAGTTAAAATGTGTCGCATATGTTGTAATTTGCGACGCAATGTGCAACACATTCAAGTACGGCATGAGGTGCTCGTTGCGACACATTTTCTCCAGCGACAGCACTACACATTTTTGTACGACACATGCGACACATTCTGGAAACGTGGTTAGAGCCTATTATGCAGCGCATTTTTCGTTTTTTCAAGCAAAATTAACCTATGATATTTTTTCAATTTAATTATTCGTATTCTAAAAACTCTGGCAGGTCAGATTTTGGGATCTGTTCGACCTCGAGTTGGTCCGATCGCCATCAGATCGAATTTGGATAGTCCTCTCTCGATCTTTGATCGAGATAGGAGTGTTTCCGATTAGTAAACAATCGAAAGATAACCTAGAACAAAGAAATAATATGAAAATATACAAGTTTCGTACCCTCAATCGAGTTGCTTATACGTAAATGTGTATTCAAAACAAGATGGTGCACGAATAGTTAGCAGACAGAGCACGACAAATTCATATGCAAGACATTTTGATTGAGACACTTTTTCGTAGTGAAGTCTGCAGCACTATAACTAGAGACGCATAAGTGCGGCATATTTTACTTTTGTGTGCATGTGACGGATTTATGAGACAACCATTTTTTTATTATCAATAATCAGCTTAGTTTCACCGAAGGTTCACAGGATCATTAGGTTTTTCTCTTCTATAGATAAAAGCAGTAAAACGACGTCTGTTTCCCAAACTTAACAAGCTCGACCTTGAAGTTGATGACGCATGGCCAGCTGGTTCTGTAGATTTTCTCTCAACACTGATCGATTTTTCATCGCTCTCAGAATTCGTATTGGATGTCAGATTGACAAACGATTTCTTCCCGAACACCGTGGTCAATATTGCAGCTCTGCTTGAAAAAATGCCTAGTCTTCAATCTATCATCTTACCGAATCGTTGTGTAAACATGAAAAATCTTTGCTCAATTTTGCCTCGACATGTTCAGCACTTGCAAGTGTGTGTCACAAGTGTCGATGAGATGAAAATGATTCTCGATCAGCTTGAACATTTATCGAGTATTAGATTTTTTTCTTTAAATATCAGAACTCTTACGTCGGAGATAATTGGTTGGCTCACCGAAGATGGAAGAGATTTTACGTATAAACAAAGTTCCTATGCGTTAAAACTATGGCTTGGAAAGAGTATCGATCGATTGTCCTCGAATGGACGTCAAGCAGCGTCGAGCATAAAATTATTTTCTACGATGTTAAATTCTGCGAAAACAATGTTTTCGCTTTTCTCATCTGTAATTAAGAATAATCATCAATAGAAAAGAAAGTGACGTTTGTATTTCCATCGTAGATTGTCATGAAGACGATTCTTAAAAAAAGAAATGCGTTTTTTCTACAGCCTGTTAAACTCTGTGCTAGTGAGCGCACTAAGAATTTTGAGTCGAAATGGATTTCGTCCTAATCAAAGACGATTAAGGAATGCCTGTTGTAGCCAAGTTTGTTACTAAAGGATACAGTAAAAATATAGAACGGAGATTTTCTCCTTCTACTTTTCAAAATATCGAAACATTTATCTTCGTCAAATACGTGAAGAAAAAAGAATAGGATGTCAAAGAAACAAAGTTTTCCTTTACCCTTATTTTTTACCCAAGGATTTTATATCTCATGTGTTAGGCATGACTAAACAATTCTGACCATCTACCGACAATATTCAGTTTCTTGACAAATTGAGAATATTTTTTCCTTCTAGTTCTTTACTGCACCAAACATTTCGTTATGCTCCATAAGACATGTTCTCTGTTCGATGTGGCAACCGAAACTACAGATGACTTTGTCGAGGATGAGTGTGTGAGTGAGGTGTTCAGTTTTGTTGCATTACTGAACATCAATTCTAGCTTCTGAGCAGTAGATAACACTAATGAAATCACCTGAGAAAGAGTCCATAATGACTCAAAACTAATTTCACCTTGGTCTCTCAAGTTGTCTCCAACATATTGAATAAACGAAATTCACTTTTTGGAGGATATGATTTTTCAGAGCTTTTAGTAAAAAAATCATTAAAAATCAAGAGTTTAGCATATTTCAAAACGACTTGCCTCACAACTTCTAAACAACTTGCCTCTATCACATATCTTAAATTGAGCAAAAGCCAAGCATATTAAGGATGTGGGTGTGTGTGGGATGTGTGTGGGGTGTGGGTGTGGGCTGTGTGGTGGGTGTGAGTGTCCCTGAAGAGGATACCATGTACCACACCCACATCCACACCCACCCCCACCCCCACCCCCACATCCACACCCACCCACATCCACACCCACCCACATCCACACCCACACCCACACCAACCCATACCCATACCCACACCCACCCACACCCACACCCACCCACACCCACACCCTTTCTATGCGAGAACATAACATGGAACTAACATTCAAATGTACATCCTCTCGCCATGATTTTCTATTTTCAGTATTTATTAGGAAATGTGTAGAACAGTTCGTTACTTAAATCTACGATGAAGAGTGTGGGTCTGTTTACTCTAACTCATCTTCTTTACATCCATGCCCGAAATCGATTGTAGCAGGTGTGCAAACTATCCATTGTAAACCAAGAGCGATCTAGTTCAAATAATTCACAAGGACAATGGATGCAAATAGCTGTTGGACCTTTGATAATTTTGGAAGATAATTCAATAGAGGCAACGGGATATATCCCGCATGAATTGAAATAATATGTCGAAGAAAATTTCACATTGTTTCGAACATAGGTCAAATCAATAGAGTAATTTTAAGTTGTGCATGTTTCATCAAGTGCAATTCATTAGAAACAATACTCACAGACATCTTATTACGACTACAATCGAGAAGACGAATTGATTCACTAGATGATTTCTTCCTTCAATGTCCTTGACTTCGATTTTATTCAGTCTTGCTACTAAGATATGTTTTTTCTATCGTAAAAGAAATCCGTTTAAACTGGAAGTGATTGAAGTAAAGCTTTGGGTGCTGGAGCTGTAGGGTATGTGGGTGTGGGTATTAAAATAAGAAATAAATCCATATACACACCCCACCAATGTTACAACCAGTTATGCTGTACCTCCCGTACTTGTTCTCGGAGATAATCCAACACCATATACATGCCCGAATTGTCGACAACAGATTGTTACACGAACAGAAAAAAAGAATGGCTTATTAATTTGGCTTGCATTTGGTGGTTTCTTCATTCTAGGTCTTTGGTGTTGTTGTTGGATACCATTTTGTATCGATTCTCTCAAGGTTTGTTTCACATTTTGTTTTTGTATAAAACTATCAATTACATTATATGATAATATTTAGGATACGGAACATTATTGTCCAAGTTGTAGTACATTAATTGGTGTGAAAAAAACAACTTTAATCATAAAAAACTGAGTGAACATTAACTTAAGTCTCTTTTTTTTCCTTCTTCTTCTTTCACAGATATTTGACTTTAAGCGATAAATCGAACAAACTGCATTTCATGGATGCAACAAAGAAGAACAACATGAATTTAATCTCTTGCCTTTTCTTGTATGAAGTCGAATTATAGAGTTGATATATTGAAAAGTTAAGGCCGATAAAAATAAAATAATATATTGTTTTTGTGTTCTATTCTGTTACTAGGAAAATCTATAATTAGTATTGAAATATATTTCTTTTGATATCAAATAACAATTTTTTTAGGTGCCAACGATTTATTTATTTAGTAATTAAATAAATCTACACAAGAGAAGGAACAACGGAAAAGGAGAGAGAAAAGAAAAGGGGAAGCAAGGAGAAAACGGAAAAAAGAAAGAAATTTAGGACTCTTGACATCAGTCTTATGTCCTAAGAACAGTAATTTGGTTTATATATCACTTCGTTTAATATATAGTTGAATCTTTAATAGATTATTTTCAGTTATTTTATCATTATAGATTCTAGCTCGTGTAATTGATTGTTCAAGTAATGTTGTTGAATATGTCTTTATTTCTTGTATTTTGCTTATACTATGAACATATTTAGTTGATGTATACATTGGGAGACCTAGTGTTGCTTTTAACGCTTTGTTTTGAATTGTTTGTAAACGTTTCCATATATTTTCTTTAGCTGTTAACAAGATAATAGATCCATAAGAAATAACCGATCGAACTAATGATTTATATAGAGTAAGCATCGTATTGAGATTGGCATTTGGATTTAATTTAGACAGAAATCTAAGGAGACTAATTCTTGATGCCACTTTAGTTTCGACGTGTTTCACTTGAGTTCTCCAATCCAGTTTATGATCAAACATAACGCCCAGATACCTTGCTGAAGATGTTGGTTTGATAATAACATCTTCAACTTCAATTTCTAATTTTTTCCTATATTTTTTTCGTGGATGAGGGCTGAAATACAATAGCTCGGTTTTTGTGGGCTGGATAGTCAACTTCCACGAACTACACCATTTCTGAAATTCATTTATTGACGATTGAAGACGATAATTTAAGTTTGTAATGGTATTTGATGTTGTCCACAGTGCTGTGTCGTCAGCAAATAATCCATGTTCTGTATGTTGATGAATGCTGTTCATCGAATCACTCGTATATATTATGTATAGTAGTGGTGATAATGGAGAGCCTTGAGGTGTTCCACTTCTTAATAAAATTGATTTTGATAAAATATTTTCTATTTCTATTGAAGCAGTTCGATTATCAAGAAAAGATATAATATAACATATTAAATACTCTGGTAGTCGTAGATCAAATAACTTGTAAATTATTCCATCGAACCATACGGTATCGAAAGCTGCTTTTATGTCAAAAAAAATTACTGCTGAGTGTTGTCGTTTTTGCAATTGTTCTCGAGCATATCGTTCAAGTCGAATAATATTATACATAGTGCTTCTATGTGGTCGAAAACCAGCTTGATGTGATGGTAAAATATTTCTTTCATTTAATTCTTTAAACATCCTCTGCTTGATAATTTTCTCTAAAACTTTTCCTATGCAGCTTAATAGACTTATTGGTCGATAACTCGACGGTTGCTTTGGATCTTTTTTTGGTTTAAGTAAAAGAATGATGTTGGCGTTTTTCCAAATACGTGGAATATATCCAATATCGATGATTGAGTTAAAAACCTTTTCAAGATGTTGAATCAATGATGGTGTGTAGTTTTTGAGACAACGATTGTGTATGGAATCAGGACCAGGTGAACTATTTGGCAGTTGTTTCAGTATTGATTTAATTTCTTTCTTAGTTATTGGAGGTGTTTTATTTTTGTTGTCTGTTCTTGTTAATCTTCTTTTAATTCCTTCCACCTTTTTCCTAACTTGTTTGTGAAAAGGTAGATGATCTGGTTTTTCGACGAATATTTCATTCTCAAAATATGATGCAAATAAATTGGCTTTTTCATAGTCGGTGTTGGCTATTTGGTTTTGGTATATTAATTCACCTGTATGTGATTGCTTCATTCTCTTGTTGTGAAATTTACGGACAGCTGCCCATACTTTATCTGAACTCATTTTGTTTTCTCTTAGTGATGACATTATTTGGTTCATTTTTTCAATTCGTTCATTTCGAAGAGCATTTGCTAGAAGTGCTCTACTATTATAATATTCTTTTTTATCATTGTCATTGTTCGTTCTTCTCCATTTTCTAAAAGCTCGATGTTTACATTCAATAAGTTTTTTTGTTGTTTTGGAAATTTGGAAATTTTTCAATATTCCATTGGTTAAAGGAATTGCTGTTTTGGTCGCAGTAGCAATGCATTCTGTAAGTGCTAATACATATGTTTCAATCTGCTCTACTGTCGTGATTGTTTTCTTCTGATCGATTTTGCTCAAAAGATCATTTAATTTATTTCGATAGAACTGCCAGTTGGCCAATTTAAAATTGAAGGATATTCGAGGAGATTGTGGTTTTAGTTCAGCCGACATATTTAGATTAAATGTTAATGGTTTATGATCTTCTTTGAGGCCAAATGGCGCTTGTGTTTCAACATTGTTTATAAACGTAATCGTAGGTTGATTTGCTAAGATCCAATCGATTTTTTCTTCATAATTGTTCCTGATATAAGTAGTAATGACATTATCTATACATTGAAGATAGCCTTCGTAGAGAACTTGTTGTAGTTGAAGACCTTTCGCGTTGGTTTTTTTTGATCCCATACATTGAAGAGAAGCATTAAGATCACCAAGAATAAGACAATCATTATTTAAATCATATATTTGTTCAAAAAGTTCGTGATGAAGTTTTATATTTGGTGGAACATATATAGATGCTATGAGAAGATGTCCAAATGATGTTTCTATTTGTACTGCGACTGCTTCATTGCCTTCAACTGTTTTGTTCAATTTTTCGTAACATTTTATATTATTTCGTATCGCCAGCATCACTCCACCTCCTTGTCGATCACTTCTATCGTTTCTAAAAATATTGTACCCTGGAAATGAAAAATGGTGTTGAGGTTTAAGATTCGTTTCATTGATTGATAGTATGTCGAAGTTTTTAAAACGTACACTTAGTTCTTCTTTGTGCTTTTTAATTGAAGTAATATTACAGTGCATAACTTTAATCAGTGTGTTGATAGAATATAATCTTCGATGTTACTATCAAATTGATTTCTAGTATCTTTGGTTGAGTTTGTTGGATTATCTAATGAACTATTTGATGAAATGTATTTCCTTTTAATTCCATCAGTTGGAGTTGAAGTAGATTCAATATTTTCTTCTTGATGTTTCTTGGTTGATTTCTTTATTTCTTGCTGTTGATTTCTTGTTTGTTTTTTATTTGATCTTGATTCTTGTTTATCATCTTCTTCTTCAGTAAAGATTTCTTCTATATCAATATTAAATTTCTTGCTGAGTCGATTGGTCAATATGTCAAATCTTTGATTAAGAGTTTTGAATAATCGTTGTGTTGCTTGTTCAACAATTAACATAATTTTTTCAGTGATTATTTCGATAATTTTTATTTCTTCAAATCTCTCAGGAGTTTTGAGAGTAGGGAAATCGTCGTTGTTGTTCCAATTACGACTTAGTTGAAATGGATTTGTTGTTTTTGCTGATGATGTATATTGATCGATTGTTCGTTGTAACTTATGTTGATATTCTTTATATTTAGGACATTCAGGAGATGTTGCTATATGTTGTCCTTTGCAGTTACAACACATAGGATTTTGATTGCTATTTGGACATGTATCATATTTATGGTTTATATTACCACATCTAGAACAAATTTGAGTATCTGATTTACAATACTTAGCTATATGGCCATATTTTAAACATTTATAGCATTGTGATGGTTTGTTGTTATGATTTGCTGCTTCAGCAATAAAATGCATGGAATCGATTTGTAATCCAACTTTTACAAATAAGTCTCTATTTGTTGAATCTATAAATGTGACTTTAATTGTTTTAGTCGGAATTTTCTCCTTATTTAACAATCGAATAATTTTTTCATATTTAAAACCTTGATCATCTAATGCTTCTTTAATATCTTCATCCATTATTTCTAAATCTACCATCTTGACAAATGCTTCTTTATTATTTTCCATTATTCTTTGAATGGAACGTGGGATGTATACGGAAGAACATTTCTTTTCGTTTGTTTGAATAACTTTCGGTAGTTCAACCAATAGTTGATTAAATGATTTTACATCATTTGCATAAAGTGTAAATGAATTTGATCGATTTGCTTGTATATTCATAACTCTAACATCTGGTAAATGAGTTTTGATGAGATGACTTATTTTAACTTTGGTAAGTGACTCCACTTCAACAATCAGTGGTGCAATTTTGAATTGCTGTTTCATATTTGATGATTGTTGTTTTTCATCTACAATTGGGGATGCCTGTGATGCGCTGATGGTTGGTGTTCCTGTCCTTGGATTGTCTTGTTCACCTTTTTTTCTTCCTCGAACACCTCCGCCTCTTTTTGGCGGCATGGTAATGGTGTTGTCAGATAGAACGATTTTTATTGATTTATTTATTAATTTGTAGTTCGGTGGTATTTAATATTTTATTAATTAAGTATATAAATATATATATGAATATTTTTTTTTTTTTCTTAATTTAAAAATTGTCCTCGTTTGACCTTTCAGTGCATACAAGAAAGAGAATACGAAAAAATACGTCTAATCGATAGGGTGTAAGAAAGAGGAATGACTTTCTTGCTTAAAGCCTTACTTTCTTATAGCCTTACCCTTTGTATCCTTACCTCGGTATTCCCTTACGTCCATATAGTCTTATCCCCTAATAGCATTCCCCTTTATAGCCTACTCCCCTATAGTCCTATCCCCTTATACTCATACTCACTTGTTGCCTTACTCATTACAGCCTTACCCATTTACACACTTACCCTTACAGGCTTACCCCTCTATAGCCTTATCCCCTTATAATCTTATCCCTTATTGCCTTACCCACTTATAGTCTTATCACTTTATTGCCTTACTTCCTTATTTCCTTACCCTTTTATACCCTTACCTATTATAGCCTTACTCATTTATAGAAGTATCCCCTAATTGTCTTACTTCATTATAGCCTTAACTCCCTATAGCGTTCCCCCTTATAGTCTTACCATTTATAACCTTATTTGATCTTTAACTTTTGACCATTGATCCGAGGCAGAAAAATACACACACTGAACATTATATACCCGGTGTCCCAAAAGTAAGGTAACAAAAAGGGCACGCTATAATAATGGATAATGGATCGTTAATGATACTTTTTATACTTTTCATTGATGTGGAAAGCTGCAACTTTCAGAAATAAAAGATCTTAATTAGATATATATGTGATAAAAATTTTAGCTCTCTACATGAACAGAAAGTATAAAAAGTATCAGTAACAATCTATTATCCATTATTGTAGCATGTCCTTTTTGTTACCTTACTTTTGGGACACCCCCTATATACTAGCGAGAATCCGTGCATATTCCACGGCTGGTTTCTCCTTTAACGTGTGACTTCAGACATTTAACTTTTCATCCGATCACAGACATACAGTTACGCGATATTATGTACATAGATCGAAGCCTTACGGCCTCGTACTCTTATATCGCACATATTTTTATAGTCCATGTAGCCTTATGTTCTTATAGCCTTATATCCCTTGTACCTCTTGCAGCCTTATCCCTTTACTGTCTTACACCCTTCAGCGCCTACGGGTACCCTATATGACGACACTTGAGGATCCATGGGTACCTTCGTATAATAGCCCTTGAGGACCTATAGGTATCCTCATCTAATAGTTCTTAAGGGCCTACGAGTACCTTCATAGAATAGCCACTGAGGAACTATGGCTACCGCCATATAATACCCCTTGAGGACTAATGGGTACCTGTCTATAACAGCTCTGGAGGACTAATGGGTACCTGTCTATAACAGCTCTGGAGGACATATGAGTACCTGTATATAACAGCCCTTGAGCACTTATGGGTACCTCCATACAATAGCCCTTGAAGATCCATAGCTCGTCAATATAATAGCCCATGGTCCCTTCCTCTTATACCCTGATTTGACCATTAGCCCTTGACCTTTAACCTTTAACATTTGACCCGGCACAGAGAAACACACAGACAGACACACGCTGAACATTATATATATAGATATATATGATTCTTATTGGTTACTACCCCCTCTCCCCCTATGTAAAAAATTGAAGGGGTAGATAATATATCATACTAGCGAGAACCCGTGCATACTGCACGGCAACTGCTTTCTATCGACTTTCACATTATGCTTTACCCTTGATCCGGTAACAGGCAATCAGACACTTCGCATTATACAAATAAATAGACCCCACAGTCTTATTCTTTGCAACCTTATAGTCTTGTAGTATTACCTGGTTATATGCGTATTTCCTTACTCATTTATATCTTTATTCCATATATACCTGTAGCCTATTACACTTATATAGTTGTACTTCTCATGCTCTTGCTCCATTATTCCCATATACTCTATCTCCTCATCTCCTTATCCATGTATTCTCTTATCCTCCTATTCTCCTATCCCCTTATACTCTTCTTACTGTATACTCCAATTCCCTATCTCCTTATCTCCCTATCTCTCTATCTCCTTATCCCTTAAACCTTTATCCCCTATCCCTCTATCTCCCTATTCCCTTATCTTCCTATCTCCTATGTCCCTATCCCCAATCTCCCTATCCTCCTATCCTCCTATCTCCATATCCACCATCTCCGTATCTTCCTATCCCCTATCTCTCTATCCGCCTATCTTCCTATCCCCTATCTCCCCATCCCCCTATCTGGCCATCTCCCTATCCCCCTATCTTCCTATCCCCTTATCTCCCTATCCTGTTATCTCCCCATCTCCCTATGTCCTTGTTAACGGTGACTCACATTCTGCCTACCCTCGATTCTCTATCTCTGTATCTCTCCCTTCTTCTTTCTACTATATTGTTATTGTTATTGTTGTTTCTCCTTCTTTCTCTCTTGTTCTTCTTCTCCTCTCTATGGATGTATATATATACCTAGTGATTTTAAGGACATTTTGAAGAGATTTAACACATGAAATAAATAAACAAAGTTAAGCTCGTCGAAGCGAGCTAACAGTCCTACATCCCTATCCCCTATCTCTCCCTATCCCTTATCACGCTGCCCTATCCTTTTGTGACCTTTCACCTTTGACCTTGACCTTTGTCCCGGCACAGACACATACTGAAAATAATGTATAAGGGATACGTATATATGGTTGCCATTGGTTACCACTAGGAGTGGGAAGTTACCGTTATCAGTTACCCGGGAACGGGGTAACGGTCGTACTATTCGGGTACCCTTGGGTCCTCAAGTCCTATTCTTCCAGGGTGCCCATAGGCCCTCAAGTCCTACTACAGGGAGACCCTTAGGTTCTCAAGTCCTACTATACGGGATGTCCTTGGCTCCTCAAGACCTCCTATGTTGAGGTATCGTTCGGTCCTCAAGGCCTACCATAGGGGATACTCTTGAGTTCTCCAGGGTTACAATAGGACAGTCCCTTGGATCGTCAAAGGCTGCTATAAAGGTGCAACGTTAGGTCCTCAAGGGAAACTATAGCGGGGTACCGTTGGATCCCCAAGGACAAATGCCCAGGCTGTATTTCATCGTGTTGCACTGGGTAGGGACTTCAACATATACCCATCCATCGATAGAGCATCCTCAATAACCCTATGATCGACCAAAGCATGCCCATGTGTTCTCCGTACAGTAAGATAGAAAAAGCCTCCTGAAATCGGATTGGTCGAAAAATGGACCAATCACATGGTGACTTTTTATTTCTCAGTGTTGGGAGAGGTGGGGACCCCAACATGTATACATCAATCGATAGAGCATCCGCGATAACCCTATGATAGGCCCGAGCATGCACATGTGCTCTCCATACAATAAACGAGAAAAGACCTCCTGAAATCTGATTCGTCGAAAAATAGACCAATCAGATAGCGAGTTTTATTTCTCAGTGTTGGGAGGAGTGGAGACCCCTACATATGCACATCAATCGATGAGAGCATCCTTGATAACCTTATGATCGGCCCGAACATGCCTATGTGTTCTCCGTACAATAATCGAGAAAAGGCCCCCTGAAATCTGATTGGTCCATTTTTTGTACCAATTTAATGGCGAGTTTGTACTTGAGATCGCAACGATCCGCGGCAATAGTAGTTCCTGAGGATCCAAGGGTGCCCCCTACAGTAGGCCTTGAGGACCCAAGCGTAGCCCTATTCCCGTTCCCAGACCGTTACCCGGGAATGGTAACGGTCTGGGAACGGTAACTTCCCACTCCTAGTTACCACCCCTTCTCCCCTCTATGTATAATATTGAAGGGGGAGATAATATATGATATATATATATATATGGTCACTATTAGTTCCCACCCCTTCTCCCCCCTATGTATAATATTGAAGGGG